GGCTTGGGCCGCTGCGACGTGGCGGAGGTGCCGTTCTGCGCGCCGCCGCCGCCGCCGGGGTTCTCCTGGCGCTCGTCAAGAACGCCTTTTAGGTACTCGGCGCGCGCCAGGTATTCCTTGAATTTGGCCATGATGGCCTCCTTGCTACGCTGGTTCTTCTCATATTTCAGGTGGGTGGAGAAGTAGTCGAGCGCGGCCTTGTAGTTCTGCAGCGCCTTCTCGAGTTCGCCCGCCTCGTCGGCGGCGACGGCGAGCTTCACAAACTCGATCGCCTTGCCCTTGAAGTCGCTGTACATGCTGCCGCGCGCGCGGGGGCTGCCGCTGGCCGCCGGCCGCTGCTGCTGGCGCCGCTGCTGGCGCGCGAGAGGGGCGCGCGGAGGGGCGGGGCACGGGCCCGCGCGCTGGTGATGCTGCTACGCGCGCCTGCAGCGGGTCGGGCGCGGCGCAGGGGGTGGTACGAGCCGCTGGGACGTGCCTCACGTATGGATCGCGCCTCTCTTGTAACACGCAGCTACCAGCAGCTCCGCAAGGGCCAAGCGCATTCCCTGTGCCAACTGTTCCGCCGTGCGTTCGGGCTTGCAGCAGCAAACTGTATGATCGTAACACAACGTGCGGATGTACACGATGCGACCTGAACAAGAGGTGCCTTGCTGGTGCCGTGACAAGGGAGACTGGGAGACGACATAGACCAGATCACTCACTCACACCAGTCGACATGCAGGTCGAAGCTTAGGCGCAGGTGTACCATTTGTACGGTTGCACTAGAAGACACAGTCGCTTAATAACTTGTCATCTTGCATTGACAGTCCCGGCCACACTCGGTCTAGGAGAGTGGTGGCGGGCGATCCTGAATGGACGCGTTCTGCTCATGAAAGGCTCGGTCAGCCCGCTCCTGTGGTCTATCAGCGACCAAGCAGCTCCATCAGGGGGCGCACTACGCGTGCACAGCATCAGGTGGGTGTGGACGTGACGCGACACCTCTCTCACCACACCGCAGCTGCTGGCCCCGCTTTGGTGCGACTGCATGGTCTGATCCAGCCAGCTTGCACATGACGGGCGACGTGCTCTGTCTGCATGGTCACGACACGCACCCCACTGCCCAACATGCGCTCTGCAGCCGGCATGGGACGCTGCGCAGCATTACCGGGGGACAAACGGCGGCGGAAGGCGAAGCCGCTGCCCGGCTCCGTCCCTCGCAGCTTGCGCGCCGAGAGGGCGTGGCCTTGAGGGATGCGCAGCAGCTGGAGCAGCGGCTCGAGAGGCAGCAACACCCTCTTCATGCATACCTCAACGGTGGCGATCGGGCCACCCAGACCCCCTGTGCCCCTGGGGCGCCGGCCCACATCGGTGGCTCGGTCCCTACCCCGCAAGACTGCGGCTGGCTCGCGCTCGCCAGCGCGGCGCGTGGCAGCCCAGATGCGGCGGTGCATCTCGGGCCTGGCGGCGGTGCAGCAGCAGTTGCGCCGCCGCCGCCGCCCGACGGCCGCGCCGCAAACCCCGGCTCTCGGCGCGCGCCCGATTCAGCGAGCCGCATAGTGTCAGAGCTGCACGCCGCCGCTCGCGCACACCGCGCCGCTGGCAGCGCCGCCGGCGTCTCGGCGGCCTGGCGCTCGAGCGTCGAGCTGGTGGGCCCGTACCTCCATGCGCTGCAGCCGGACCAGCTCGCTGACCTGGCGTGGTCCCTCTCGCGCCTGGGCCTGCGGCCGGGCGTCCCCTGGCTGTCAGAGCTCTGCCGCGCCGCACGGGCGTCCTTCGGGCTGCCGCGGTTCCGGGGGTACACCTTTGCCACCCTGCTGCCCGCGCTGGGCGCGGTGGGCGCCGAGCCTGGCGCAGACTGGATGCGGGCGTGCCTAGACGCGCTCACCGCCAAGGCCGCGTCGATGTGGCCCCGCGAGCTCGCGTCGATCGCCGCCGCGCTGCCACCGCTGCTGCGCACGCTGCCGCGGCGCGGCGGCGGCGGCGGCGGCGCGCATGCGCTGCTCCTTGAGAGCGGCTGGGCGGCGGCGTATTACAACGCGTCGGGGCCGCTGCTGCCTCGTTATGAGCCTGTCGGGCTCGCGCGCTCTCTGCACGCGGCGGCTGTTCTGTGGGACGAGTTCGGGGCGGACGTTCCGCGGCCGTGGCTGGCCGCCGCCGCGCGGCGGCTGGGCGTTGCAGCGGACGAGGGGCGCCTCGGGCCGCGTGAGGTGGCGATGGGCCTGCAGGCGCTCGTGCTGCTGCGGCGGGGGCGGCGGGCTGCTGAGGGGCTGGAGGATGGAGGTGATCGGGAGCAGGTCATTGCTGCTGCCCAGCAGCAGCAGGACCAGGAGCAGCTGCAGCAGGCACAGGAACAGCAGCAGCAGCAGCAGCAGCAGCAGCAGCAGCAGCAGCAGCAGCAGCAGGAGCAGCAGGAGCTGCAGGCGCTGCAGGAGCTGCAGGCAGCGCTGGAGCGTGCGGTGGCAGTCGGCGCCGCCCGCTTCGGCCCCTACGAGCTGTCCTGCGCACTGCTGGCGCTGGCCAACCTTGGGGCACGTCCTGAATGGCCCTGGCTGCGCGCTGTGCTATTGGCCGGCGAGGTAGGTGGCAGCGCCTGCTCGTGTGCGCTGCAGCAACGTGCTTTGGCAGGGCGGTTAAGCTGTGCGCACTGAGTCTCTCTTTGCTACCCCGACAAACACCACTCCAGCCGTTGAGTGATCGTTGATTCAATCGCTGCTGCGCGCGCTCCCTTGTCACCCGCAGGCGCTCCTGCCGCTCTGCTCGCCGCGGCAGCTGTCGACGCTGCTCTCCTCGGCCTCGCGGCTCGTGCGCAGCTGCCCCGCCGCGCAGCCTCAGGCGTGGGACCAGGCGCTGCTCGTGCTGCAGGACGCGCGGCGGATGGAGCAAGAGCAGCAGCAGCAGCAGGAGCAGGAGCATGAGCAGCAGCAGCAGCAGGAGCGGCAGGACGGGCGACAGGACGGGCGGCGGCAGCAAAACCAGCCGCACGGCGCGGGGCGCCGGGGAGCCACGCAGCCGCAGCAGGAGGCGCTGCCTGGCGGCCGGGCCTTTGTCGTCCGTTGGACGCAAGCGTGCTGCGCCGCCGCGCTGCCGCGGCTCCCGTGGTTTGCGGCGGAGGACCTGGCAGTCACAGCTGCTGCGCTCGCAAGCCTGCGGGTCGTGCCGCCGCCGCTTTGGTACGATTCGCTGCTGCATGCAGCGCGGTCGTGCGTCATCTCCGACCTCGCCAGCAGCGGCGATGACGGCGCTGGCGCGGACGGCGCTGGCTGGCGCGGCAGGCCAGGGGCCGCGGCGCGGGCAGCGGCAGCGCGCGCCCGGCGCGCCGCAGGTCTTGCGATTGCGCTGTCGCGGCTGTCACTGCTGCCGAGCCCGTGCGACACAGAGGTCGCGCTGCAGCCGTCGGACGCGTGGCTCGAACAGCTGTATGATGCGGTCGCGGTGGCAGATGCGAAGCAGCAGCAGCAGCAGCAGCAGCAGGAGCAGCAGTTCGGCGGGGCGAGCGGCCTTGACAGCCAGGGGGGTGTCACGGCGGAGGACATCGTCTGGCTGATGTGGGCCGCGGCAGCGTTTGGCTGGCGCCCGCGGGAGCGCTGGTGGGCGTGGGCGGAGGGCGCTTTGATAGCGCGGATGGCCGGGCCAGGCGGCGGCGGCAGCGGTGGGATTGGCACAGGCGTCGCGGGCGGGGCGCTTTCCCGCCGCTGTGCTGTCGTGCTGCTTCAAGCGTATGGGGGCGCACGGCGGCCCGTGCCGACGCCACTGCTGCGCGCCGCTGTGCTTCACCGGCCGGTCGAGTGGTGGCTTGGCGGCGGCTGCAGCGGCGGCGGCGCTGCCATAGCTGCGCTGCGTGCGTTGGCACGGCTGCCACGAGCAGTGCCGCAGACGGGCGGCCCTGTTGCACCAGGCAAGCACCAGCAGGCGCAGCAGGGACAGCAGCAGCAGGGACAGCAGCAGCAGGGACGGCAGCGGCAGGGACAGCAGCAGCAGGGACAGCAGCAGCAGCAGCAGCAGCAGCAGCAGCGGGCGGAAGTGCAGGTGTTTGTGGCTGATCTGGCGCGTGCAGTGCAGCCGCGGATGGCTGGGATGCGGGCCAGCGAGCTGGCAGGCATGGCCGCGGCGTTTGCGCGCGCGCGCCTGGATACGCGCACGGCGGCCCCTGGCTGGCGCGACGCGATGCTCGCTGCATCTCTGCCTTTGCTGCAGCAGCGGCCTCCGCCTCTGCGGCAGCAGCAGCAGGAGCAGCAGCAGCAGCAGCAGCAGCAGCAGCAGCAGCAGCAGCAGCAGGGGTCGCAGCGGCTTGACGCCGGCGGGCTAGATGCGGGCGTGTGCGGGCCCAAAGAGGTCGCGCAGCTGCTGTGGGCCGCCGCGCGCCTGGGGCTGCGCCCGCCCTCGCCGTGGGTCCAGGCCGCGCTGCAGCGCCTGCAGTCGGCCCTGCCCGCTGCCTCGCCCCGCACCCTTGCCGGCGCCGCCTGGGCCCTGGCCGCCCTTGGGTACCGCCCCCCAGCGGACTGGATGGGCAGCTTCCTCTTGGCCAGCCAGCGGAAGCTGCCCGACGCCGACGCGCGCAGCCTCGTCGCCACGCTGCGCGCGCTGGCCAGGCTGCAGGCGCGGCCCGGCGCCAGGTGGCTGCGGCCGGCGCTCGTTGCGCTGCACGGTCGCCTGGGCGAGCTGCCGCCGCAGGGGCTGGCGCGTCTACTCGTTGCGCTGGCGGGCATGGGGGTGCGGCCGTCGCACGCATACGTGTCGAGCGTCGTCGCGGCGCTGCTGGGCGCCTGCGGCGCGGCAGATGCGGATGCGCCGGCGTGCGAGTATGCCGTGGGCGACGCGGCTCTGGTCAACTCGCTCTGCGCCGCCGCGGCGCTGGGCTGGCAGCCCGACGCCGCGTGGGTGGAGCGGCATGGGGGCGCGCTGTGGGGGGCCGCAGGGGCGCGGCTGGGCGGCCTGAGCGACGCCCGGTTTGTGCGGCTCGCGGCGGCGGCCGCGCGCCTCTCCGC